GGTGGGGGGCATACAGGGCCAGAGGCAGAGTGGCGGCCCTACAGGGTGCTGGGGTGTGGCGCTCCATTCCCACCTCCCCCCACCCCATCATTCATGACAGGTAATTTGCTAGTATAGAAATAAAGATAGTTGTGACCTGAGGCTCTAGTTGTTGCAGCTATTGTTAAGAAGGACTGGTTTTATATGCAAGAGAAAAATAATTGTTCATCACAAAAGGATACATTATTGTTTAATTGGTTCACAGTACCCTCAGCAAAGTGGAAAAGGAGAGGAGTTGCTCATACAATATCTAGCAGAATAGGGTCTTGTTCTGTAAGTATGGCTCCTAATTCCTTTGGTAATACTAATAATGAATCGTAATAACAGTAGCTCTTCTTAGCATGTTATTTAACTCAAATAAAATCAAATCTTGGGTGCTGTCTGGTATACTAGCTACACAATATTCCAGTGAGAATCAGTGGCTAAACAGTGCTGGATTAAAGAAGTTGTAGGAAACCAAAGAATCAGTTCAGGAACAGATACGTCTTCGATTGTCTCCTCTTTCATGTTTGATCCCAAAAATATTTTTTAAACTGCCATTCAATTTTCCAGCATAAATTCCTCAAGCAGAGATAAGACTACTGATTTTGCATTTTCATGGAAAATGTATAGCAAAGCCTTATGTCCCACTTCAACAAAAGCCTCAATATTTTAGGTGCAACGAAGAGCAATGGGTCTGTTTCAATAAAAATAAAAATGAATTTTGTGTACCCTTTCCTATTGTGAGGAAGGATGGTCTCACATTTATGGCATATAGAGCATTGCCAAAAGATAGAAGGTCTATCCCTTGATTTGTGTACACTTTCACTGTGACCTTATTCAAGTTACTTAAGCTTTCTGTTCCTCAATTTCTGTAAAGGAAAAAGTGAGAGCAATATCATCTGTTTCATAGATGGTTTGGGAGCCTAAATTAAATTCCTCTGAAATGCTTTGAAATCCTTGACTACAAAGTCATTAGATTAGTGCAAAGTATTATTATTCTATGTAGTTCACACTGGTTTGAGGCTGTTTCTGCAATACTTAAGTGTTTGGATCTGATCTGTACTCTTGTTCATGCCAGCAACTCTTGTTGCTTTTTATGGAAGCATTTCAAGTGCCAGGATTGTGGAAATAGACCTTTTAGAAACTCAGTGTAATCAGGATTCTCTTAAATACTCCCACTTCACCTGTTATGTAGTGTCACAGCCACTTGCTGTAATTCCTCCTTAGAAATGTCCAATTTTGGGGAAAACAAAGGGGATAGGACAGGACCTTATATCATTTGACTTAGCCGACATTAAAGTCAAGGCATGAGGTGTTTGGGGGAGGGAATGCAGTAGGTAAAATAGCTATGGGCTTAGTTCCAAGGATCATCATGAACTAGCACAGTTAGATGGACTAAATGACCCTAATCCCAAGTCTCTGTCAAGGTTATTAATAGAAGTTATTAACAGAAGTTTCCAGATGTGCGATTGTCAATTACTATTATTACAATGTATGCATGTATGTGTGTGTATACACACACGCACCCACACATTCAAATTAATGCAATAACTGCATGTATACACACACACAGCAGCAGCAGCACTGAAGCTGTCTGCACAAAATCAAGGACTTCACTTTTCAGGGCTCTTCCCCACATACTATTCTCTCTCTCTCTCTCACACACACACACACACACACACACGTCGGGGGGGGGAGTGCCCTGAAAAGTGAACTCCTTGATTTTATGCAGACTGCTGCAGCGCAAGGTTTTCAATAATGACTGGAGAAGAAACCTCCAGTCTCCAAATGCATTCTGTCCTTGTTGTCTCTGCTCAAGCTGCCATACAAGGGCTTTTGTTGGCAACTGCAGTGGCTTTTGTCATGTGGATCATGATCCACAGAAAAACTGGACTGAGAGTGCCAAGTCAATACAAGAATTTGCTATCTGAACAAGGTTCCATAGAGGGGAGAGTTGAAATGCAACAGAGGTTTGTTTGAATTTCAAAGAAAAAGAAAAGAAAAGAAAAAAAACCTGAAGAACTTCACTTACGTTCTTATAACAACCACCAAGCTATAGCCAAATACACTAATTCCAACCATGAAATATGCCATTGGCAGCCTGTATTTTAACCATCCAATTGTCCGTTGGTTGTTGTAGTAGCCGTAAAAAAGAGCAGAGTACTTAATATACCCCTGGTGAAACATACAAAACACCAAAGTTAGATCTCCAGTCAAAGTTATGTGCATTTTTCTGTAGAAGAAAGGTCACAACATTGTGTTTATTTCAAAATACATATATATATTTTGTACATGTTGTTGATTGAAAAAGGAGAGACAACTGGATTGTGTTTTTTAGTTGCATGTCCTCTGTATTTAGTGAACAGTTTATTAAACTTTTCTGTCATTCTGAAATGCCTTTGATAATATGCTCTTAGCTCTTCCACTTACTGGAAGAATCTCTCAAGATGAAGGGAAGCTGATGAGAAAGTGAAATGCGCAGTCTAAACTGAATTTGCCCCTTCACTGATATCTAACTTTTCACCTGGGCATCACAATCTGCTCCTTGTCTTAAACCTCTCTTTTGTTACAATTAATACAACTTACCATATTAGTTACAAACTTCTTGGTCCTTACCCCAGGACTAAACTCCCAAATCTCTCAAACACTATGGTAAATCTGACGTAAACAACCTTTACATTCTCCAGGTCTTATCAAACCAGTACAAAATGATTTCTTCTAATTGGAAAATGAAGCACTTTTAAACCATTAGAGATTCATTTCTTTTATGGTCCACTGCTTGTAATGGAAAAGATCAAAGTCAATTATCTTTAACCTTTCTCATAGAAAACAGATCTCTGATGGAAAATCATCTCCCTCTTCTGAGGTGGAGCTGTGTTTTGTTGCATATACATGCACATGTGCACACACATACAAGTGAACATTCACGAAGTGCATAGACATTCATTTTATTTCTCAGAACACTGATGGATCCCTCTCCATTTTTCTGTAATCTCATCTGTATTGATGTGTATTACAGCATGTTGTGTTTCTCTTCTGATTTGCATTTTGGCCTCTTGCTGCCTATTTACAGTTTACTGAAGCAGCAGGGTTATGACATTCTTGGAAGCCTCCTCTGTTCTGATCAGCCCTTTGGAGAAACCAACGTTAAGACATCACTTGAAGGCCATATGTGAGGCTATATGCCAGACCAATTTCCAGCCCTATGTAAATGCCCAGGTGAAATGTACTGATTAAGTTGCTATTTAAACACTTCCTTATTTATGTAACGCTTCTACTAATTTAACACATAATGTAGGATGCATTATTATTTTTGCATGATTTCCAGTGGTGTAAACACTGTAAGTTTAAACCTTATGTTGGAGGTGCAAAGTGATCATTCACTTTTCTCTGGAATTACTGAGCAGCAATTCAGTCTACTGCCAGCAGCACAGCAGCTTTATGGCAGAAACACAGAAACTTGGAAGTTGTAGCAGATTATATAGTGTGCTTTGGGGAGGAGTAAAGAAAAAAGCCTTATAAAATATAAAAAGGACACTTCTGGTATTCATTAGAAAGACTGTTTTCAGGTTGGAGTCCTATTCTTCTGTCTATCTAGTTTATAATACTGTAAGGACTAAAAGGTATAGTCTACCAAACATAATGCAGTATGCTCTTTATTTTCCATCTGGGAAATGAGATATTGTGTCTGAAGTCCAAACGAGATGTATTGTTTTCTACTGCTGTCATCAATTATGTAACCTACTTGTTGGTATTCATGAGGCCTGTGTGAAACAGCTAATATTTGCTTCTGATTCCAGTTCAGCCAATTAAGGGGACAGTGATTTGATTTGGTGATTCAAATTACTGTCCCAAATTGATTTGGCTGAATCTGATTCAGAGATTTGGCCACTGCCAAATCGGCCGAATCTCCAAGTTGGACAGGCCCCATCCCCTGCTCGCTCTCCCAGCCCATCAATGGCTGCCCCACCCTGCCCCAGCTCCCAGCACTTTAAAAAATAAATAAAAAGCCCCCACTCACCAGCTGCTGCCAGGCAGAGGGGGTGATCCCCATTGCTTCCCAAACCCTGCCCACTCTCCCAGCCCCCTCTCCGCCATGGCAGCCCCACCCAGCCCCAGCTTCCAGCTCTTTAAAAAAGAAAAGCCCCACACTCACTGGTTACTGCCAAGCAGGTGGGTGAGCCCCACTACCCCACGCTGTGTTGGGGGCTCTGCCATGAGCCTCCAGAAGCCCTGAGGCCACTGCAGCAGCCAGTAAGTGGGGGCTCTTTTTTTTCTTTTTTTTTTTAAAGAACCAGGAGCTGGGACTGGGTGGGGCAGCCATGGGGTGGGGCTGGGAGAGTGGGCAAGGGATGGGGGCTCATAGGAGAGCCCCCCACAGAGCAGTGAAGGACAGTGGGGATCACTCCCCCGCCTGGCAGCAGCTGGTGAGTGGGGCTTTTTTTTTGTTTTTTTAAAGAGCTGGGGCTGGGCAAGGCAGCCAAGGGAGGTGGGGGGGGGGGGAGATTGGGCAGGGGTCGGGGCACTCAGGAGGGGCTTGGGGAGCAGGCAGGGGATGAGGCGTGGTGGGGGGTTAGGATTAGGGTTAGGGTTATGACCTTTTCCCAAATCAGACTTCCTTGGTGTTACATATAGAAATTAGATACCGTAAATAAACACACCCACTTTAGATTTGCAACAAATTTCTTTTATGTTTGCTCATATGTAATTGGCTTCTGGGTTTCTTTCATTTTTAAGATGCAGAACTATTAGGCTTCCTTTGTTTATCCAGAACCTTTCCTTGCCTGATTGGAGACCTTACGTATAAAAACCCAACCTAAGTAAATTCTGTTCATTTCTAGATGGACTATTATTTCTGTTATAAAATTCTTGTTGCAAATCAAATTAATAGTTCGACTTCTCATTTTCATCAAAGAAGTTATGCATGGAGATATATAGGACTTTTGTTTCTAGGGCTATATGGATAAAAGTACTTTTAGGGTGCCCGTATATGTCACAGGGTTTAATCCTTATTAAAATAATAAGTTCATAAAATTTAAACTTGTTTATTTTGGAGTGTTGCATGAATGTTTGCATGTACTAGGTTTTTGAACGAATGAAACCCGGTCCCCAGCTTGCCCTGCAGGAGAGTGGGACAGTCCCGTACTGTCCCCCCCTGGCTCAGGGCTCCCCACCCTGTGCCCTGCCACATAGCTGTGGGAACAGGGAGCTGGCACACAGCACAAGAAAAATAAAGCGGCAGCAATTCAAAAGTGGAAGCAATTTGAAGCAGTGAATTACAAAAAGTTGCAGTGCCATGTGGTAGATAAAGCAGCTCATTACACGTCTTTGAGTGCCTCTGTGTTTGCAGGTAATGAATCCATGGAAGCAGCACTTTACTTTGCAGTGAGCCAAACTAAACTATGGCTGAGGAGTTTTAGTTTAATTCACCAGAAAGACTTTTAAAGCGTCCAGAAAACAGGCTCATGCAAACAGTCACATCACTGCAGTTCAAGAAACAGCAAAAAGTGTGTACAAACAACTTTAGGTATGAAAAATAGGTATCTGACTGTGATATTATGAAGAAGCAGGGATGGAAGGGACCTCAGGAGGTCTTCCTAGCTAAATTGTAAGTTTAAAGTACTATAATTACTTGTGTAACCTATTCTGAAACCTGAAGGACCAGGCTTCTTGCACCACTACTGACCACAATGCCACAAAACAAAACCATTTCTACAATTTGAGAAGACACATTTTTCAAGCAGATTCTCTAGTTATATATTCACTTTCAGTAAAATGTATCTATTCCTTTCAGGCAGAACCAGCAATTGCATATGTACCCAAGATGTGTGCTACAAATATATTGCAAGTGAATGTTTACCAAATTAATATTTAAATGAGTGCATGTGCAGAATAAATTTCACTCCAAAATGTTTTGGGGCCTGCTTACTCTGGTAAATGAATATTTAGTTCTTACCTCAAAATCCCAAAGGACAGAAAAATCCATGGCTGTTGCTTGTTCAGCTCTAGGTACAGTTTTTCTCGGCATACTTCCATAAGGCATTCCCATTAAGACCTGATTTAAGTTAATGGAGACATATTTATAGTCTACAATACTGTACATCTCTCTTCATTTTCCCTTAATTATATATTTTCCTTGTTGGAACAGGTCAAAAGAAAGGGATGATGGAGCTCTGTTTATAATGTGAACCAAATTCACAAATAGGGCCTTAAAATTGTATGGAGAACTCCTCTTGCAAGTACTTAATTCAGTCTCAGTGAGCTCACTTAGTTTATGATCACCATAAATTTCCAGTGCTGCTCCAGACAGCTGAAAGTGCAGTACCTCCCAACATATTCCTATAGCACTGGACCATTGGCCTTGTAGCCCCAATTCAGTAAATTGCTTACCAGAGTTAATGATGTGTGTATGAGAGATGGCTTTTGAAGTTAAGAGTTGCCTGTGTGATTTGAGAAAATGAGGTCTGATTTAGAGAGACAGGTTGATTTTTTGCTTTTTTCCTGATGCATTGTCACAGTGACTAGCAAAGAGTTGTACTGAAACCATGGGAGCTTTTAGAATAACCACCACCATATTTTGAAAAACGTATTAAAACCAACAGGATGCTCTCTTTGTAATGGAATGAAATTTTCCCAATGCTTATATTGGTAGATCTTGTGACAATTTGGAATCAACTGTGAATAACACAGGTGAAAAAAATGTGTTAAGGTAATGTGAAACACTCACAGACATAACCCCACTGATGTCTATTTAGGTTTTTGCTCCTGACTTCCTAGCCAGTTAACTGCTGCTTTTCTCTCAAAGCCTCACTTTTATCCCTAACCTTATCCCTTTATATTCAGTTGAACTACAACAAAACAAAACTGGTGAGAGAAGTAACTCATACCATTTATAAATGGCCACTACCCCTTTCACTTTGTTCACACATTCCATATCTTTTGAAGCCCATACAACAGCAGTTCTCAAACAGGGTGCTGCGGTACCCTCATCTGTCTTGAGATTCTTTCAAGGGTGCCATACAGTGTTAGCACTGTTACGCAGACAAACACCTACATGATTCACAAGTTAAATCCAGATATTGCAAATAGGAATTCATGTAAAAAATGTTTTGACCTGTTGTAATCTTTTTTAGTTTTTTGCAACAGAAGAATTTCTGTATTACTTTTCTGTAGTCAAAAAAGGAATGAAAAATAAGAGGTGGCATTTTCTGAGTGGTGCTTTAAGCCTAATGTGAGGTGCCTTGAGCCTAAAAAGGTTGAGAACTATTGCCATAAAATGTGATGAGGGATAGGGGTGTGCGAAATGGGCCCTATTCAATTCGGAGTTGGCTTGAATCAGGGACAGCGATTTGATTAGTTGATTCAGATCACTGTCCCTGATTTGATTCAGCTGAATCCAAATCTGAAGAGTCAATGCTGATTCGGACATAGACACAGCTTTAAATGGTTTTTCTACATACCTTGAGGTACCAGGTGCAGCTCGTGAATGCTGTGATGGTGGGGTGGATGGAGTGTCCCACAGGAGTGTGGGGAGAGGGGGCCTGCATGCTTGGTGGCGAACCCAGAAGTAGACTGGAAGTATTTCCGGTCCACTTCCAAGTCCACCAGGAAGCATATTGGGGGGGGGCACGCCCTCCTAGCTCAGAAATTGGCCAAGGGAGGACCCTGTGCGCCCCCACCCAGACCCAGGAGGTACCAGTTGCCAAGCTGGGGGGGGGGGGTGCGGGGGACAGTCCCCGGCAGACCCAGAAGTGGACTGGAAGTGCTTCTGGTCCACTTTCAGGTCTGCTGCTAAGTGCACTGGGGACCCCCCATGCTCCATCTGGCCCACCATCACAGCATTCACGAGCTGCCTGGTACCTTGAGGTATGTAGAAAAAACACTTAAAGCTGTGCCTGTGTCCGAATACTTGAATCTTTCCAAACCTCTCCAAATCAATTTGGAGGGATCTGATTCAATTCAGAGAGATTAAAGGGTCTCCTGATTCAATTCAGATTTGGAAATTCAGCCGCTGAATCGGGTTGAATCTCTGCCAGATTGAATCAGCGACCAAAGCTTTGCACAGCCTTAATGGGGGATGTGATGGAAACAGTGAAACCAAATTAAAAGGTCAAAGTTTGGAAGAAGCCTAAGAGGTGGGTTTCTGGATTTGGGCAAGTGAGTTTGATTTTCCAGGAAGAAACCCAGGAAGGAGTTCACTGGGAGCAATGGCAATGTTTATCTTTCGGGCATCCTGAACCACAGGTTAAGTTTTGGTCCTCTACTCTCTATATAACTAAATTAATTGCAATGTAATGAAGGCCCTCATTAGGTCAGAGCCCATCATAGCCTTTCTGCTGCCCTGGTTAGGATAAAATTTAATAGGGAAGTGATTCATGGCTTCTCTGGGACAAGTCCTAGCCCTGGATACACTGGTATAAACCCAAAAAAACTGCAGTCACCGTAATGGAGTGGGTTTAGAACTTGACCATCTTATTGTCTTTTCCCCTCCTTCCCTTAATAATACAGTGACCACTGTATTACTGTGAAATTCTTCCTATGTAACCTCAAGTAAACTAATTCAATAGGAGCCACTGCTTGCCAGGCTGATGTTTCTTGAATAGTTGAATTGTAGAACGGTTGTGCCTATCAAAATCTGATCTGGGTACCTGCAAGGTTGTTTTTCACTGTGCTTTTCTTCAGCCTTCTAGATACAGGAAACTGCTAGATTTAAGTCACTGGTGCCTCAGAAGTGTGTTTTCTAGGGCATGGTGGTGAACTTACACACAAGCAGTAGTTGGGAGATGGTAGAAATTTTTACATTTAAGATAGGTTTTTGATCTTGATGCTCCATTGAAATTCTTTGTTTAGCATCAGGCCTCATCTAGGCAAAAATGGTTCTGTGGAAGCCATAGTGAAATAGCATACAAATGAATTGTAAGTGGGGGAGGAAGCTGGGTATCTCAAGGGCCTGGGATTGAAAAGGATATCAGTAGTTAATAGAGTGAAATGTCCAAAGAGTTGCCAACAGCATTAATAGGAGCAAAGTTAAATCAATTGCTGAGCACTGCAGATATATCTCATTGATGTGTATGCTGATCCTCTTTGAATATTTTTTCCTTTGTATGTCAGAGGGCTACCTGAAAATATTATACAGTTCTGGAGTAATGAAATCAGTCATTTTGGGGAAAACAATCATTAAATGGCAAGGGACAAAGGGAGAACGTGAAAGCTGGCATCAGCAAGGTGGTGTGAAGAACAATATTTTTCATAATGCAGTTGTATCCCACAGTAACATAGGGCAGAAATAGCTTCAGAGCAAGACCATTATTTGCCAAAAATAGTTGCCTGGGAGTGAGTCATAAAGACTTAATAGCATATTTATAGGTAAGTTGTGGATAATGTGCAGCAATGTCTAAACACCTCATAAATAGCTTATAGAATATATTTAAAGCCACCATAACACAGTCATAAATAAATAATGTGTGTATTTTAAGGGCTGCATTTAAATTTAAAATTATTTTTAATTAAATCCTTATTGACAAGCTCCATTTACATATCTTAAGAGATTAGCATGCAAAGGACAATCGTTATGCATACAGAAGAACATCCTTTCTTCCAGGCAACCATGCAATACTATGATGTAGTATTTTTCCTTTGATTTTTCACAAGAATTTCAGATGTTAAAATATCTATAAGCAATATCATTTGGACAATATCTGTATATTGCGACCAAGCATGCTGATTTCTTCTGGACCATAAGGATACTCCAAGCTTATAAGATCTGAGGGTTCTATTTTTCTTTCTGGCCAAAACTTTAAAAATTCCAGCCTGAAGTTGAGTTCTAAATCTGCATTTAATTGCCTCCTCATAGCATTTTCAAAAGCAATTTGAGTAAGTTAGGTGCACTGACATCAGTGCAGCAAGACTTTTAAGTCACTTAGGTCTTGTTTATACTGCTTTCCTGCCAAGACCGGGACCACTGCTGCCTATTTGTTCCATTTGCTGCCCACACATGACAGCAGTAGGACAGAGCAAAAAGCTTTGAAGGTTCCTACTCGTTCCTTTCTCCCCTCCAGCAAGAGAGTAGAACAAACCAAGAATGATTAAGCCTTTAAGTAGTAACAATACCCACCAGATATATCAGTAAGACAGTCTAGTGTCATGTGCCTGCATAATTGGATTTTGCTCATTGTAAATGTCAAAACGAGGAATAAAAATTGACTGATATTCAGATGATGGCATCACTGGAGATAATGACACCCTAAATCAGGGAGGCACTTTCATTTGGCCTGTGATGCCCACCAATGAATTGTGCCTGCCCAGCCCTTCTGCCCACAAGGGTGGGAGTGAGGCACTTACACCTGCCCCCAACATACCCTACTATGCCTTGCTTCCACCCTTGTGGGTGGAAGGACCTGGTCCCAGTAGCACTGGGAAGGGCTGCTGCTGCTGGTTTCCCAGGCATCCCTCTCCCTCCAGGCAGCAGGTAGGGAAGCAGGGATGGGGGCAGGGCTACAGCTGGATGGGAGCACAGAGCTTGGGGCTAGGGCTGGCTGCAGTGTGGAGCCCATGCCCGGGGGGTGGCAGCAGCGCAGAGCTCAGCTGGGTAGCATGTGGGTGTGAGGGAGGGTGGAGGGTGTGGCTTTGTAACACACTGGTCTCTCCTGCAGTCAACACAGGCAACACTGTGGGGTGGGGAGGAGGGGTGTGTAGGGGGGGCATTTGTGGGGTGTGAGGGAGGGTGGCGATTCCCCCCCCACACTCTCCTCATGGTGCAGCAGCAGGCAGGGGCACTTGTTGCCTGGCTCTGGCCAGTGCACTGCACATCTCATTGAAGAGTACAGTCCCCGCTGGGAAGTCTCTATCACTGGTGCTTCCCAGCACTCGGGGGTGGGGGGCGGGGCACCACTGCACATTGTGGTGAGGAGTGCAGCCCCTGCCAGGAAGTTTGTACAGCCAGAGGTCCCCGCACTGGTATGGCACAGGAAGGAAGCCCCAGGTATGGGAGCTGGCTGCGGTGGGGAAGGCAGCCAGGCCCAGTGCCTGAGGCTTCCCTACCCTGCCACCTGAATGCTGGGGAGAACCAATGATAGAGACTGCCCAGCAGGGACTACGCTCCTCAGTGAGATGTGCAGTGCTGGGCAGAGCCAGGTGCCAGTGTCCCTGCCTACTGCTGCACCATGGGGTGAGTGTGGGGGGGTCCCAAACCCCTCCCACCCTCCCTCAGTCCCCACAAACACCACATACCCTGCAGTGTTGCCTGTGTTGACTGCCCAGAGACCAGTGTGTTCCAAAGCCAAACACCCGCACACCACAAATGCCACACAACCCCCCC